AAGACATTCTAGTTATCTAATATAGAAACAGAGAAGATATTAAAAAGAAAAACCAACACAGGTTAGGTTTCAGTACTCATACAAATTCTCTCTCTCACACACACATATAACAGAAATAGCCCGTATATCCAAAGTCTAACTTAACCAAAAGGCACAAGACATCATTTATGACTCTCAATATACTCAGTATAATAACTAAGGCATGACTTTGTCCTTTTGGGATGTGTATTATCAGCTTACATTCATTTGAGTTGATAAGGAAAAGTTACATTTTTAACAAAATCTAGCAAAACGCAAGAATGATTTCATTGTAACCTATAGAAAGAAAAGTATAATAAATTAATTAACATAAATTTGAAAATAGGAGGGGGAAAAGGAGAGAAGCATCCATTATGTTTTCAATTCTTAATGTGTCAATACACCTGTTGATTATCAGAATATATTCCTGAAACAGGTTTTGGGATAATTTTGTATCACATCCTTATTTCATCATCGACAATCAAAATATATACACACAGAAGAGCTAGCTGTCAATATAGAAAATAGAAATTAGAAAAAAAATAAACTCCTAAACTTAGGCCAGTAAACAGGTGTGTAGCTAAAATAAAAATTAAAAACAAATATTCTAATAGTAACATATATGCAAATAATAGCCACATAATTCTGGAATCAATTTAACACTGATTCTGGGATTTTCAAAAATTTTCAAAATCCTACAGGTAAATCACAATTCACAGACAAAAATTTCAGTAGAGTGAAAAATGACTAACCTGGAATTGAACGGTAAAAAGCATCTTGAGAATGGCTCAAATTATTCATAAGATAAGCAGCTTGACCAGAATAGGCTAAAAGAAGACAAGGAAATACAACTAGAGTAAATGCAAGCTGTACAGCTGAGACCGGAAAATGGGCTAGGTCAGCAAAAAGAGCTTCTGTCCCTGATATAAGTCATCACAAGATAATTTGTACAGTGCAAAATTATAAATTGTCACTTCATTTATTAATAATTCTGAAATATGCAAAGGAAATCAATAACAATGAAATTGAATAATACCTGTTATGCTGAGCATGATCCCACCAAGGGAAGTCCAGCCTTCTTTTCCTCCTTTTCTAAAATAGCGATATATATATACTGGAGAAAAAGCTTTTAGAACACTGCTTCCGTACTTCCAGATGTTAAAAATACCTATACTTCCAATTAGGAGAAACCAAAGAAGGACAATTGGAGCAAAGAGCCAACTAACTTTATCGGTCCCATAATGTTGCATACTGAAGAACCCAACTAATATCACCACAGCAACCAGCACTACAACACCTATATCAGACAGAAAGAAGCTTTTCAAGACCTATGAGCTTAAAATGAATTCAAGCAATAAATACTTGCACACAGAGAAGTAGCACTTAAAACAATATCTTATAATAGTTGTAGGAAAGGAACATACCACTACTCATTGTAGGCTTGTTTACCTTGATGCCACCAACAGCTGATAAAACTACAACAAAAGATATGGTTATGAATCTCTTCTTAAAATAACTGGAGTTTGTTAAAGCTGATACTATGAAAACAAAAACCTGTTAGCAATAATAAAATTTGGTAAGGATTCCTTTGCAAATTTGCAACACAACATAATCAAACTTAAATGGAATTTTTTTCTTCAAGAAAGAAGTAGAGGCTTGTTTGATTTCAGAAATTAAAGAAAAAAAAAGTGTTTATTTTCTGTATCATTACTACAAACATGTCACTTTATCTTCATTATGTTTATTATATTTTGAAAGATTTGTATATGAAATGGTGAAAACAAAATTTTCAAAGATCCGTTATGTTATAACACCTTGCTTTAATTTCTCCCTTTCTAGTAATTTCTGAATCATTTGATCACCTTAGACTAAAATGAACTCAAGCTCATCTGACATATCAAGCAAAGAAGATATGCCAGATTGAAATTTAAAATTTATAACGATATTTAAGCTAAAAAAAATTCCCTCTACCAAATCAAGCCTTAAAATTACCAAAATAGGAATATCAACAGGCCGACTATCCTGCTGTAGTCTTTCAAGAGAAAAAAAAAATAATACTACATCCTTACAGGTTTCAAATGAATTGTATCCTTACAGCATAGTGTTTTCTCAGAATCTTTCTAAAGTATACATATGGTGTGGGAATCAGATAACGGAAAAGTGATGAATAAAATAGAGTATTTTGCACATATATGGTGGTAAACATAAGAAAAGTTGTATTTTACATGAAAATTGAAACTAGGCACATGACAATCAGTAATAATACATCTACTTGAGAAAATAAAGAGACAACAATATATTTTGAGAGTAGAAAAGGTCTCTCTTAGGTGCTCATGTTTATATACAACAGATCTGTGATATGATGATGAAAAAGGAAAAATTAAAAGACAAGTAAACCTAGCTACAGTTAGGTACTACCCAAAGCAGCATTTGAATAATGTTTATTTAACCTATTCTGAATCTATTCTAACGCATCTAATGAATCGAAAGTCATACTCGTAAGAAGTAATGAACCAACTAGAAAGAACACAGGTTTTCTTAGTGTACTAAGATCAGGAATTCCTTGTCCCTCTCAAGCTTCAGTTTTAAATACATCTTTGTTGCCTACTCTATTATTACAAGTAGAATACAAGGTCATTTTACCAATAATTTATATCCACATCATTGTTCTATTTTGTCATCCCAAAAAATGAATTTGTGATTAATTACCTTCCACAGTTTGGTAAGTCGGCACATGTATGCACACATAATATTTAGAAGCACATGCATTGATAGATATCTTTGCTAAACAACAAGCAAGCTCTAATTATTGAAATATTCTTAATAAAATGGGAATAAGATCAGCTGCAGAAAGAAGGCATACCAGATATAGCTGGGGTAAGAATCCCATCTCCAATAACCATGCAGGTGCCAACAAGAACAAGAATAAGAATGACACTCCTTGCAGATTCTTGTTCCTCTAACCATCTTTTCGTTTTTGCAGCAAAGGACCTTTCATGGAATGTAGACCGACTATATGTCGTTAGCTCTTCATCAGTTCGATGCTGGTTGGGAAGGGTTTTTATCTTTGCATGTCGGCAAAGCAAGGAATAAAGTGCAAATGTTCCACCTGTTCCACAAATGTCAGTTTGATTAAACTTCATTAAAGATCAGCAGTCTGAAGCAAGCATATCTATCTAATGCAACCTATATGAAAAAAAAAAAAAACTTGTGAATTTAATTAAAATTATGAAAGGAAACTGGATAATTTATCAATTAACAAGACACTTGTAAGTGAAAAATGAAACATCATCATTCTTCACTAAACTGTGAATCTGATATACTTATAAGGAATTTTAACAATGAATAATAAAATACTGCAGATATCCAAGGGAAGGCATAAAGCAAGGGGTAATTTTTTCTGGTATTAGGATATCCCTCCCATTTCAGATTGGGATACAAATATTTAGTACAGGGTGTATGTTGTGCGAATCTTCTTTACAGAAAATATCATTAAAACCAGATTCACGAAGCTGAGTTGTTCACATAGAAAAGTTATAATTTTATACTAAGTATTATCTTAAACATATACACCACAAATGAACAAAATAATCCATACCTTGCCCATTGTCATTGGCTCTTAATACAACAAAAACATATTTGAGGAGTGGTACCAAGGTAAGAGAGTAAATAATCAAAGAAAGAGCTCCGATTACATCCTCCTGATCTTTGACACCATTAGGAAATGTATTGTAGAAAACATACAAGGGTGAAGTGCCCAAGTCTCCATAAACTACCCCAAGACTCTGAAATGAAAGCCGCAGGAGCAACAGTGCAGAAAATTTCTGAACAAATAAAACTGTGTTAACAAAGAATTCCATACCAAATCACTTAACAGCTTATTAATGCTATCTGCGCTCTGTAATCTGTGTAACACCAGAATAGCTGGATTTCCTTATCAAATTGACATTACACACACAAGTTGCTTTATGTATTTTCCATTTAAATAAGGCTTCAAATTGTTGTTACAGTTGTGGCCATAGGCACAATTCAGTTTGTCCCTTGATTTTATGGAAAAATTGCAGACTAACGCAGTTGATGCAGCCCCAACTGCAATTGCTCTAAGTATTTGCCTATTGAACAAGACAAATACGGTTTCAAATTCATCACAAATCTCGATATTGTAGGACATTGTGGACAAATGTGGCTGGTGCAGCCCCAATTGCAGTTGTAGAGAGTTCAAAAACCTTGACTTTGCAACCAAAGTACAGTTGCTGACCGGTTTCAAATATATGCTCCGTAGTGCCTTTAAAAGCAGAAAATCTTTCTTGATTAAAAGGAAAACACTAGTTTTCGTTTAATTTGTGTTCTAATGAAGTCCTTGACAATAGCAACTAAGAATACAATTTAAGTGGACTGAAACTAATAATAAGAGCGGACAAACAAAATTAGGGTTACTGTATGCTGCAAAGAGAATACTTCCTAATTCAAACCATGACCAACCAAGGCATAACAACACGGTTGTGTCAGAGCTGCCTAAGTGAGGATAGCTACATTAGTTAAACTTTTAATGTTGGATTGACAATTCAACATAGCAATTATTAATTTTTGTACAAGTTAAGAAAGAACCATAGTTATAAATTATCAATTGCATTCACCCCCCAAGAGTTAACATTAATGACACGACAAATTCAGTAAGAGAAAGAATGTAAAACCAAGGTGCAATGATGCTTCATACTTTTTCTCTGTACATATTTTTAAGCCTTCCTGCCTCTTCATCCATAGGCTGGTCAAGCTTCTGATCCAAATCCCACATGCTACCTTTGATATCACTATCTTCATCAGTATCTACTCTTGAACTCATTTTCAGCTCAGATACTTGTAAGTTTCTAACCGGTACAGCTATTCAGCCTTATGTTCTCCTTTTTCAAGAGTCGCTACACCCCTTAAGAAAATTAAACAGAAAAAGTTGACAGAAAAACCTTCGGGCCTTAAATTTAAAGTCACTTGAAATCCATGCCAACAGCAACCACGGATCCAAACCACCCTAAAACATCTGGAAAAGAAACAAAAATTGAATTAGAAGTCCATAGCATCTATGAAAAAAAGATGAGAGAAAAAATGCCAACTTGCAAACGAAAATCAACACAAAAATTTACACCCTTATATTGACCAGGCTCGGACTACCAAAAACTTAATCAGAAACTAGGATAAAAAGTATCAAACTTTTCCAAGCCTACATACATATGCATGGTAGAATACAAATTAAGATTGAAAATTATCTTGATCAGAAAAATACCCTAATGAAAATGTAAATTTTGTAACTGAGAAACACAAATTTGGTCCATGCAACTATACCCTTTTGATGAAAAACAGGAAACCTTCTTGTTTGCAGGTGTTATCTGATCCAAGCCCCACCAGTCGTCGCATAATCTGATAATTGCTGCTGAAATTTCCAAAGTGAAGTGTCTGAAAAAAGTTTTCTTTTGTTCCTCCCAGGTCTTGAAAACTAAAAATCCATCTCAATCTGAGTCCTGAAAATTTAAGGGATGAGCAAAGACATGCAAGGCTCTTCACTGGAAATGAAGATTGCAACAGAACAGAAATAGAGTGTCCTTCTGCTGAGCTTGTATTAGCCTTTTACGGTAAGTAAGAACTATTTTCTCTTGAAAGCTAGCAGACAAAAAATCTCAGAGTGATAGAGAGAGAGAGAGAGGGACAAACCCAGAAGAACAAAACTATAGAGTTGTATTATATTTCCAAACTATAATATAGAGAGAGAATGTGCGAGTATGTAGAACAGGGAGATGAGAGAGAGAGAGAGACGTGGATGTGGGACCAAAGAGTAACTTTTTATTATTATTTGTTTTTGTATTATTATTTTTTATTTATTTTCTCTTTACTTTTATACTTTTTACCATCGTGCTGTCCTTTTATCCGTTATTATTAAATATTAGGTTAAATTCTATTTGTGTACTCTTATAAAAATTTAATTAAATCTTTAATTTTTATTTAGTTTAATTTAATATTTTAATTTTTAAAAAAATCTTATTAGGTTGTTTTCATTAGATTAATGTTAAACTTTTGTTAAAATTTATACATCAAATATATTTAAAAAATCTAAATATTCAAATTAATTTTATATTTTAATAGAATGATTGGGTGTATAAATTTTAATAGAAGTTTAATATCAATGTCATAAAAATAAGTTAATTGAATATTTTTAAAAACTAAAAGACTGAATTCAATTATATAAAAATTAAAGATTTAATTAAATTTTTAAGAAAAATTAAAGGATTTATTTTAGTCTAAATTTTTCTAATTAGAATTCAGATGCACATTAAAAATAGTAATTAAAAGAAGTTCTAGAATTGGCCAACTTGGATCAAAATTCTATGAGTGGTTTATTGCAATCTTTTGGATGACTAAATTGGTCAAGAGTTTGTTTGAGTGAATTATTTAAGAGATCAAAATTATTCAATCGAGTTTTATTACATACTTCAAATAATAGAGTTGTCAAACTACATTACCGTGGTTGAGAATATAAGACAAATTACAAAAATATGTTTTTAATTTTTACTCTTAAAAAAGTTTTTTAATTCATATATATAATTCTTTTTACTCTGTTGATAATAACTAAATTACAAAATAGTTGAAAGTATTCATTTTGAATTGGGTATCTTTGTCATCGTTTCGTCATAAACATACTTTTTAAGTCTTATGTGGCTTTTTCAACTCTCAAATTAAGATTGTTTGTTTTACTTATGGTAGGTAGGCTTTTGAATGATGGTTTTGGTGGACATAATTCTGTTTTCCGATAGAACTTTGGTCATATTTTTCTTCTAACTTTCTTCATAATCACAGCTATAGTTTAAGAAAACAAATTTATTTTAATTATAAACATTAAAATTTTAAGAGGAATAAAATATATATTACTCTAATTAACAATGGTAATTATACAATAGTAATTTTAAAAAATATATAAAAGTCTTAGGTTGTGTTCGCTTGTGAAGAATATATTGTTCAGCACGACTTGTGTAGACGGATTGGGAAGCAAAGTCATGTTCGTTTGCAAGGATTTGAAAGAAGGAAAAAGCGCGGATTTGTAGGATATATCACTTTTTGAATCATCGCAGATGTGCAAGGATTTATGATGATTTATGAGTAATTTATATGTTTGTCCTCCTTCCATTTGATAATGGAGTAATTCAGTATGAATAATCAAATTTTGAAGAGAAAGACCAAATCCTCATCTTGTATTCGGACAGCACATATTCAAATCCAGACCAGTGTATTCAAATTATGCAGCATTATTTAAATAATAATAATAATAATAATAATAATAATAATTATTATTATTATTATTATTATTATTATTTCAATTTACTAAATTAATATTTTTTTACATTTTAATAATTAATTTTAATTTTTTTCTTCTTATAAACATTTTTACAATTAAATATAACATTAACAAATAATATTTTATATTACTTTAATAACTAACCGTATTTGGTAATTTTTAATTTTTATCAATTAAACTAATTTTTTAAATCTGTCACATCAATCAGATCTTACACTAATTCTCACAAACTTTACTTCAAATTTTACTTCTAAATTTACTCTCAATTACCCACAGATTCACTCAAAAAAACAATAAAAAAATTACCCTCAAATTCATTGAAATCCATTCAAATCATCTCTCCTAAATCGTTAAAAAACAAAGCCTTCAAGCGGATGATTATTCACTGAACAATTATATTGGCAGTTGATTATATTGGCAGTTGACGGCGTCAACTACTTATCATTTATTGTAAAATAAAAGAAAATGTAAGTACTCAAATTGTTTTGTATCCCTACTTTACTATTATTTTCGTGAAATAAAAAAGAAAAACATTTGCAGTTTAATAAAAGAACAAGCTGTATGAAAAGACTTTATGTCTGTCTTGCTAAAGAATTTATTAGTAACATTAACTATATGGTGTTTTTGTAGAACTTATTTTAAAGCATCAAATTCTTGTGAATACTTTGTTTTAATGAAATTCCATCTGATGTCAATTATTATTAATCGATACAATTAAATAAGAAATTAAAGAAGTTTATATATGACAAATAATAATGCTACAATGCTATATATCGATTAATAATATGTGATTAAATGGAAAAAAGGTGTGATGTGAATTAATTGATAAATTGAAACTATAATGGCTAATTCTCATACTTGGAATCAATTTCGTCTAATAAAAGATAAAATAATTTAGATTTAAACTCTCGGTTGGTTTTCAAATTTGTTAGAGAATTTTAAGTGGGTCCTCATATTTTAAACGGTTTCAATTGGATCATATTATTTGTAAAATTGAGTCAATTTTACCCTGTCTGTTAAGTTGTGATGGAAAGAGTTAACTTGAGCTGAGCTCTAATTATTTTTAAGAGAACGTGTCATTGTGATTAAATTGATTGAATAACGTGTTTTACCATCTCAATTCCACGTAACATTTAAAAATGTGTGTGAAACTTTTGACTGGAAGAAGAACTTTTCCTCTCTCTCCCTCCGCATCCTCCCCCATCGTTGCTCTACCGGCGTCACCACCACCACCAACTACCGTCCAATGAAACACCAAATATTCAAAACTTTTCCCCTCTCGCCTACAACATCATGTGCCCATGGTTCTTCAAATCCCGTCGTTCAGTACACCCCAAGCGACGCTATTTTAGTGTAAGAGAAGCTCTTTTCTGGAGACCAGAACTTATGTCAATTTAAGCCTATATACCAACCGAAAATCAGGCTGGAAAAATTCTGGGGGTATTGAAGGAGGGTAGTACTTCTTGGCCATATATAGGGATGGCAACGGGTCGGGTCGGGCACGGATAGTGCCTACCCGCAACCCGACCCGACAAAAAAAAATCCACCCGCTACCCGACCCGCTACTCGCACGGATACCCGCTTAAAAAATATCCGCGGGTATTTTAAAACCCGCGGATACCCGTGGATATCCGCGGATACCCGCAAATATTAAAAAAATATATATTTTAATAAATTATTAAAATAAAATTTAAATAAAATTATAAAAAATATATAAAATATAATATAAATTAAATTAAATATAAATTTTAATTAAATTTTAATTAAATTTTAATTAAATTTAATATTGTAAAATATAAATTAATGTTAATTTTAATTAAATTTAACTTAATAAAATATAAATTAAATTTTTATTTTTATTTTTTTGCGGGTAGCGGGTATCCGCGGGTACGGATAGTATAATATCCGCACCCGACCCGTTTATAAGCGGGTATTAAAATATCCGCTACCCGCGGGTTGCGGGTAATAAATATCCGCAGGTATCAACTATCCGTCGCGGATTTTATCCGCGGGCGCGGATTTTTTTGCCATCCCTAGCCATATATTTGTACTGAAACACAAATAAATTGTGAGAAATCACTCAAAACATATCACAGATAGGAACAACAAATTTAGCAGAAGTTGTTTACCTTGTGCTAGCTGTATTTCTCCCTGAAATAAAATTTGAGTTAGACCTGTTACCACATCAGCCATTTACATGTTGAGGACCAGAACAAGTTTGATTAGTTTATCTGTATTCATTAAAAATTGTCATGTAGTAAACCTTGTTAGCACATAAAATTCGTTTACTAAATGAAAAGCAGACATCATTGAACCTGATCATATGTAAAAGTGGTGTGTACAAAAACAACAAAGTTCACACTTTACTGGTTAGAATAAGCAAACACATATTTGAGGTAATACATTAAGTAGAAGAAAATGTAAATCCGTACCATCTTTCAGTTGGGACTGTTGTTCCAAGGCTTGAATCCTCAATTTGTACTCATTGTTCTCACTTTTAAGCGCTGAATTGTCCATATGCAGACAAGTACAACAAAAGAAACGAGAGAAAAAGAATAAAGGAATGATGAAAGGGAACATTTTATTCATCACAGTAAAATATAGATGACAATTTGATGAAAAATATCGGCTGAACTCAGAAGGCACGCACCTATAATTTGGTAAATTGAGTAGACAATGTGGTTGACTCTGTCTGAAGTGTTTGGACTTTAAGCTCCAATTCAGAAATGTATCGCATCTTCCGCTCTTTCGAGCAAGCAGCAGATAGCCTATTGGCCAAAATCCTAGACAAATATTTTAGAGTCTTAGTTGTTTTCCACCAAATGAGAACGACATAAAAACAGTAAAACATAAGACTATTGTTACCTTTTTTCACGTTTAGGATCAACCATGGCAATTTCAACAAGTTTATCATTCTCCTTTATTTTCTTTAGCTCCTCCGAGCTGAATTCACCATTTCCAAACTCTATGCTTGTTTCAGATGTCTTACCCTCTAGTGAATTGCTAGGCGAGTGTTGACCACCCCGGTTTTGCAGAGGAAGAAGTTTAGGTGATTCATTTCCAATTAGGGTGTGAGGGTGGTATACCATAGGGTTTCTGATTCTCTGCAACACCCAATTGACTAACAGGCACAACAATATTCAATCGATTTGGGGGCCTGAGATTTGCTCCCGATGATGAACCAAAACCACTACCATTTCGTTTCAAATTACTTTGATCAACACCTTCCATTGACTCAACAACGGCCAACCCTTCTACTCAAAAATCACAACTTTCAACAAAGTATAAATTTGGCCAAAAAAATTGCAGAAGCGACTATAAGTGATGGAGCATAACAAAGCATACTATACTCCAAGAGAGACAATTCCGCAATAGTTTGTCAAGCACTCAAGTTGCAGCGAAGAAAGATGATTTTTGGGCCAATGGGCGTCTCAGCGGCAATGTCTTTACGGCGAAGAGGGTTTTCGTCCTTCGGTGTATCACGGTGCGAGACTCTCAGTTTCGATTGGGGATTTTTGGGATTGTTCATCTAAGCTTCTCTGCAGGTATGGATCTGATATTGCTTGGTCCGCGGCTGTGGTTGAAGAGGATCTAGATAATGAAAATGGTGACCGTGGCGGTGGCGGTGACGGTGGACCCTAATCTGAAGATAACTAAAACCCTTTCTCATATGTCACAATGTCTTAAATTAAATAAAATTTCACATAATTAAACATTTTGATATCGGCGTGCAACACGTTAGCCACTATTAACGTCGTCAGTGAAGATTTAACAAACATAATTTAATTGGCTCAATTTTTTAAAATATTTGGACTCAATTGACTCAATTTTATAAATAATATGATTCAATTGAGATCGTTAAAATACAAGGACTCACTTGAGATTTTTCAACAAACTTAATAACCAACGGAGGGTTTAAACTAATAATTTAAAATTTAATAGTGAATGAAAATGATTTTAATTTGTGATCATTTAATGGATACTGTGGGACTTACATAAAACAAGAACGTGAGTTTATTAATGGTGTTGATTTGAAAATGTTGATGGTGAAGAATGCATTACCATGTTTATGAAGAATTTGAACCTTAAAAGATGTTATGAATAGAAGTGTTAATGGAAAATTTGAAATAAGGTATGGAATCATGTGCAGTGTCAGACTACAAGTGAAAGCAGGGAAGGACCATTTGCAGATCATAGGACAGAGGTAAAGTGTCTTTTATTTGTGCTGAATCTTATCTATGCAATTTTCTATGAGTGTTGAAAAAAGCGTGTTCAGTTGGGCCTCATCCAAGCAACAATTTTAATGATGCATAATTATTTGTTTGAATTTTAATAGTCTACAACTTGATAATGCAAGAAATAGGAATGAGTCTAATGTATAGACCTAATACACTAATTTGGGTTGCCAAGAGCTACTTATATCCCCTAATCAAAATGATAAGAAATTTCCTACCTAAACCTAGTTTTAGGGGAAAAAATTTCAAATCATGACGACATGATGCATTTGAATTGCCTGTTATTTTAAATTTATCAAATTTTATTTTATTATTTGATTAGAATATTACCATTACTTTCAAATATAAAAGCTATTACATGCACATCCAAAGCCCTTCGTTGCATCCCATAATTACCTTGATAACCTTTTGAAAATCTGCAAATGAAGAAATTTTTAACTAAAATTATTGAAAATTTAAAACCAAAACCTTACACTTCCAAATAGTCACTTTCGTGGTTATGTAAATAAAACCCTCTCTCGCGCTTTCATCCCAACAGCCTCCCTTATTCCTGATTGTGTAAGTTTGTCCTCGTCCATGGGTGCATTTCATTTGGCGCAACTCTTTCGATCTGTGCCCTCCACTGGGAACTTGATATCTGCATTTGAAGTCGTCCATCACCACAGATGTGTGAATTTGTCCTTGTTTGGATTGAACGCCTTAATCGTAATAGTTAACCGAAGTTCGAATTACGATTACGGTCTCGTTGGCGTTCAAACATCGATTAAGGCGAAATTCGAACGCCGCAGAAGGCGATGCCATGTTTCGAGATTTACTTTGTTTATTTTTCTTTTTTTCTGTTTTTGTTATTTTAATTTTGTTTTTAATTTTAATTTGTTAAGTTTTTTATTTTTTTTCTGTATTTATATATTGTAATATTTTAAAATATGTATGAAATAAATAATTGTTATATATTTATTTAAATATTATATATTATGTAATATTTTTGTTTGTTAAATTTTTTATTTTGAATTTGTAATTTGTGTCATTTTTTAAATTTATTTACGTATTGTTTATTATTTAATTATTTAAAGTTGTTAAAACTTTTTTCTTTGTTTGTTATTTAAATTTTAATTTGTAATTTTATTTATATATTTTATTGTTTTTATTAATTATTAGTTTTATTGATTTTATTACTTATTTGTTAATTATTGATTTTATTTTTTATTTTGAATATGTTTGAAATGAATAATTTGTTAAATAATTTGTATGTGGGAGGTACAAAGCATTTGATACGTATGAGGAAATACATTGTTAATGACGTTCATTAAAAGGTATCTGTAAGTGACAACAATGCGTGGATCGTCCACTGAATCCAATAAGTGCACTAAATCAGAATGTGTCCAAAACAGATCACTAACCACGTCCGAATTCTCCAAAGATATACTCTACTAGATATATTTATCTCTATCTAACATCATCATCAATTGTTACATTTCAGTTCTCGACCCTCTCAAAGATCATTTATATGTGTACCTTGTAGTATATATTTGCTTTATATTTGTTGTAGGTATCAGTGAGTCGCGCAGCAGAATAAAAATATTGATTTAAGAGCGGAAAGCGTGTTACGGTCAATAGCCAAGTTAAATTAGTTTCTTTTAAAATTGTGAATTTCTTTTAAGACTTTTAACAAACAGTTTGTATGCTAAAGAGTAAGGGTTCAAGAAAATCAACACAGAAACTTTATCCTGGTTCGAATCAAAAGATTCTACGTCCAGTCATTAATCACTATGAATAGTGATTAACCTTGTTCACAAAATATGGTTTTCAAATTACAATCAGATAATCAAAATAAGCAAAGAATAGAAAACACCTTCATTCGACAAACAAACGGAAGAACCTTCCTTCGACGAACGGAAGAAATTGTTCATCCAACTTGAAGAGAACCGCTTTGATCTTAGACACACTAAGCGCGAGCTTCTCCTATTCACAAGACTTGACTTAAGCAACTCTATCACTTGAGAACTTCCTCAAACAAATTCTATATTGTCAAATGACATAGATTCCTTTTCATAGAGTTTTCCTTAGGCACATAGTTCTAATACTCTCAAATGAAAAGTTACAGTTTAAGAGTTGTGAAGACCTCTATTTATAAGCTCAAGTTCGTGCATGGTCAAAAACTGAAAAGATATCTCCCAACTGTTAGTGATAATCGATTATCATAAGTGATAATCGATTATTTGTGTCCGTTATGAGATTTTCAAAAAGTGATAATCGATTATTCTGAGGGATAATCGATTATTTGCGCGACCTGGACAATATTAAATCAAACAGGGATAATCGATTATTTTGAGCAATAATCGATTATTTACGCGAGCAACTCTTTTCTAATAAAGCTCATGATAATCGATTATTACACCAAATAATCGATTATTTGCGCAAGCATCTTCTAAACAGGAAAACTTCTAAGTATTTTTACATAAACAAAGTTATTCCTATACAATTGATTCTACAAAATGCTTTTAAAGAACTACAACAAGAGTCTTCAAGTCTTCATCTTGTAACATCATCAAAACTTTAATATCTTCAAGAAACCAATGCCCCTCATTGGTAACAGTTGTGACATTATCATCTTTATGTTACTTGAGAGTCAAAGAATATTTGAGGGTTTTACTAAACTTTTAGTCATGTAAAAAAGAATTGAGTGTTCATTAGCATATTTAACCTCCTAGCGAAAGGATGACAAACCAAACTTTGTGTTAATTCATGGTTGTGATAGCCGCACATAATTGTTAAGACCCAACCTTCTCCTTTAGGTTTACCCCTCAACTTAAATGGACACTCACATTTTCTTGTGTCGGACACACTAAGATGAACATCTGGTTTATACTTCCTATATTTTTCACTCCTTTCACAACCTAACCAAACGAATGTCTTTCTTCCAACTTCACTCGTTATTGTGTCAGATCTTACAATGACAATTTACAAATCCAAGGTCGAATGCAATCGTTTGAACCAAGTCAATTAAATTGTCACGAGAAAAAACTTATTTGTATAATCACCCTCAATCACTTCATTTACAAAAGAACAAAATTCAAACACAAAACTTAAATTTATTTGAGAAATAACTAATTCAAATCAATAGTTATCCACCTTATAATATTAAATACAACCTACAATAAACATTAACATATTAAAATTTAACTACTAAAAAAGAAACCTAACATATTAAACTTTATATAATAAATCAAAAAAACATATATTATAAACATTACGACATAAATTAAAAATTAAATAAAAAACAATAAAAAATAATATTAATGATATTATAATTACAAAAATTTAACACATTATCAATTACATTAAATTCTAAAAATATTATTACATATTATAAACGATGTAATAAATAACAAATAAATAATAATAAAATATTTTAAAATTTAAATAAAAATTATCAAATATAAAGATATTATAAATTAAATTAAAAGAAAAAAATTAACACATAAAAAAATTTATGTAATAAATACAAAATAACAAAAAACTAGTACAAACTAAAACTAAATAAAAAAAACTTATTCAAAATTAAATAAACATTAAAATCTATAACACGTATAAAACATTAAAACCTTAATAAAAAATAAAAAAATCAATAACAAAATAATAATTACTACATAAAAATAACACCTACAAAATTAACTAAGACATCATAAATAACAAAAATATTAAAAACGAAATAAAAAAATAACATGACATATTAAGAAATTAATAACACATTAATTTATAAGTATATAAACCATTAATATATTATAAATTAAATACAAAATACTTAAAATAATTTTTTTATAAAAAATAAAATATCTAAAATATATAAGTAAAACGGTTAAGAAGTGAACTTTAAACTTAACACATCCCCACAAAATCGGCTTATAAGGTGAAATTTGCACCTACTTATATATTATAAGTTGGCCTTATCTCTACTCGATGTGAGACTTCTAACACACCCCTATGCGCAACAAAAAAATATCGATAGGATAGGCTTAAACCATAGCTCTGATACCATGTTAAGAAGTGTACTATAAGCCTAATTCACCCCCACAAAATTAGCTTGTAAGGTGAGATTTGCAGATATTTTTTCTGACATAGCACATATTCCATTTATATTTACGAGAATAGCATATTGTGCTTTATAAATTACCTAGATAGCACACTTTTTTTCTTAGGTGACCGAATTCTAAGTTAGATTTTTTTTATATAACTTTAGGTTAGAATTCGGTTTTTGAGTTATATATATGTGCGCTGTCTAGGTAATTATAAAGCACAATATGCTATTCTCGTAAATATAAATGGAATCTGTGTTGTCAGAAAAAAAATCGAGTTTTGCACCCACTTATATATTATAAATTGTCCTTATTTCTATTTGACGTGGGACTTCTAACAAAAACAACGTAGTATATAAAAAAAAACATACCAATTATTAAATAAAAATAACACATAAAAATCACATAATAAATAAAACATAAAAAATAAAATATAACAAACAATATTACAATTTAAATGATGTACATAAAACATTAACATATTATAATTTAAGTACAAAATATTTTAAACATATATATTGTAAAAATTATATATATAAGTTTAAACAGTAAAACAAATAATATATATATAGAAAAACATAACAAGTATTAAACAAATAAAAAATGTATAAAAACACATTACCGAAAAAAAATACGCTAAAAAAACATAACAAATATTAAACATATAAAAACACATAATTAAAACTCGAAGTTTTAACCCAACTTTCGGTTAAGAATTTCTAACATATTATAATTTAAATAAAAAATATTTTAAACATAATATTTATTATATATATATATATATATATATAATTATAAAAGTAAAACAACATAATATATAAAAAAACATAATAAATATTATAAAAACATCAAATAAAAAACATATAAAAACACATCAAAACTGATGAAATATAAACACACACAATGTATATAAAAACACATAATATATATAAAAAACCAAATCAAATATGAAATACATAACAAATAAAAAATACATAAAAACACAAAATACAAAGAATCAAAATAATATGACCAAAACTTAGAAATACACTGAACCTTAACCGAACTTTGAAGTTTGCCTCACTGACGTTCAAACGCTGGTTGAGGCCTGTCGCAATTCGAACTGCGACGACTCTCAACTGGCGTTCAAACGTCAGTGAGGCCTTAACCTAACTTTGAAACTCGGTTAAGGGTTTTTAACTTAAAATTTACCTTCAATGAAGTCTTTTAAGCTGCAACGCACAACACCACACACCGGAAACAACACCACCACCACCGGACCATCACCACTGGACCACCACCACCGGACCATCACCACCGGACCACCACCACCGGACCACCACCAATAACACACCGGGACCACTACCGTAACCACCAATGCCCACCAATGATCATAGGGACCACAAGTGGAATGAACACAAGCATAAACAAAAATAACAGAGAAAAACATAGCAAAACGAGTAGGTTGCAGTGTGTTTTCAAAATGTGGAGAGGCGGGGGAGGAGGGGGGGAGGTACAAGTATACATACTAATTGAAAATAATTTTATTCATATTAATAAAATATCTTTATTAGCAATTGAAATATAGTATAATTTATTATTATTATTATTATTTATTAATATTTATGGTTAATTATTTTATTATAATTAAGATATATATTCTTAGTTTAATTCAACACTTTTAATGGCTGCAATTTTGATTTTAATTTGTGTAATAATGTGTTGTGATATGTATTTATATTTATA